CGCCCTTTCAAATACCAATGACGACTTTTACTAGTAACTTCCTACTCTGTAACTTTTTCGATCCAGTCGTGCTAGACATACTCTCGCTTCAGGTCTCTTGCTTTGCTCATAAAAGTTATGTCAGCTGCTCATCAGACATTATAACTTGTGAAAATGTTTTCTTTGAGAGTTTAATGCTCTCACCTACACAGTCATCGTCTGCCCCCAATGTGTAAGTCATAGCGTAGCCGAAAGACCAATATTCCCTTTGCTTCACAATAGCTCTCTGATCATCTCTTTCCCGCTCATGTTTATCATAAGTTTGGGAGGTAAAGTATGGCCCAGTAGAAGTGGAAAAAATTAGAATTATCAAACGCAGTAACAAGACCGAGAAACTTTCTACTGATTCCACCAAGGTAGACTATCGCTTTCGTGATTATCCGGACAACATTCGATAGGACTTCATGATGCGAACGAACGGCAAAGCAAGAGAGCAAGTGGCTAGTCAACTTCCCTCCTGGCCATTAAGGCTCACAATACAGCATCAACAAGTCTCCCAGCCAATTTATGCTTGATTACGATCTACATGGCCAGAACTAGTATTACAGACACTAGAGAAAGTGCCTGCAACAGTGGTTCAAGTATGACTAACAACGGAGCCTGTGGTCATCTACACTCCTTGGAATGCATGAACATTCATGGAAATGGTTCTCAATCCCTAAGCCGAAACTTCTACATGATATAATTTCTCACAATGCGGTCCTAAACGAGGCCTTCTAAGGCATCTCGCAATATATCACCAGTAAGTGGTGTAGGGTTGCAGTTAGCCATTTGCCAAAAGAACAACTAAGCTGTACCCAATCACCCAACTAAACTCAGAGAAAGCTGTACAAGACTATACGAAGCGCTGATCAAGATGGATTAGATCAGTCTCTCGGCAAAGGGTGTCGTATTGAGTTGTCTTGACGGCACCAACTGGCATTTCCGACTTGAGAGCTCGGCAGATCTCGGCGTAAGAAGAACCGAGTACTTCACAGAGCGTACAATACCAACCAAATTCAAGAGCTACAGCGTAGAAACTGAACCAAGTAATCTTCGACATTAACATTGACCAAGAAGCCTCATGTCGGTTCAGTAGAGTGCAGAGCTTCTGATTGACTTTCAATTCTTCAAGCCTACAATTATGGGTCCGTAGGAGGGAGCAAGGTTGAGGTTGTCACCGATGACTCACCGCCTTTGGCAGAATAATCGGACCCACTGAAATTTCTCTCGCCGACCAGCGACGACGTGCGACTCGAATGAGCCAAATCGACAACGGGGACCCAAATTTTTAATACCATCCAATCTCATATGACTGTATGTTGAAGCCATACCTTCAAGGAGCTATACGCCAAGGCACACGCGCTGTGAGCCGCCAATTTTGTATACAGCCCTTGTCTCTACGTCTCCAATTACTTCAATTGACGGAACCTTGCTCAGCCGCCTCTCTCACTCAAGCAGCGTACAGACGCAGTGCGCCGCCACACATCAGATTCTGCAGCAGCTGTTCAACTACCAAAAGTAGTGATATCACCGTCAGAATGAGCGGAGACGAGCAGATCTTCACCTACGATGGCAAGGACTACAAGGGCGTGACCGAGGGCAAGGCAACGATTCTGGTCCCCGCGGAGGTCAACGACAAGAAGGGCCAGCAGGTGTTTTACAACCCCATCCAGCAGTTCAACCGAGACTTGTCCGCGCTGGCTATCAGAGTGTACGGCGAGGAGGTCGTCGAGAGGAAGGCTGCGCAGGCCGTCAAGGCAGCCGAGGCCGCTGCCAAGCGCAGGGACAAGAAGAGACGGCGCGCGGCTGCGGATGAGGGCGGTAACCGGCCGGCCAAGGTGCAAGTCACGGACGACGGCAAGGCCGCTGAGGTCACCAACGGCGGGGAGTCGCAAGCCGAGAATGGGGTCAATGGCACTGGCGCCGAGGCCAAGGTGCCAGCGACAGCCACGGAAGCCAAGGAGTGCCAGACCGAGAATGAGGACGCAAAGGCTGTGCCAGAGAAGGAGCCGGCGGCCCCTCGCTTCACCATCCTGGACGCTCTGTCCGCTTCTGGTCTTCGCGCGTTGCGTTACTCCCACGAGCTGCCTTTTGTGACCTCGGTGACCGCCAACGACCTGACCAAGAGTGCGATTGAGTCAATCAAGTTGAACATGAAGCACAACGGCCTGGAGGATAAGATTGTGACGAGCCACGACGATGCGATTGCACACATGTACCGGCGCATCGCAGACGACTTGTCGAACAGGGACCGGTTCGGTAACCCCAGCAAAGAGAACAAATACGACGCCATCGACCTGGACCCGTACGGAACGGCCGCGCCCTTCCTGGATGCCGCTGTTCAGGCCGTCAGAGACGACGGTGGCCTGCTTGCCGTCACCTGCACCGATGGCAGTCACTGGGCAGGCCACTGCTACGCCGAGAAGTGCTTCTCCTTGTACGGAGGCGCACCCGTCAAGGGCCTTCACTCGCACGAAGTTGGTATTCGCCTGATTCTTCACGCCTTGGCGAGTGCCGGATCAAAGTACGGTCTCACTATTGAGCCGCAGTTGTCTCTCTCCATTGACTTTTACTGCCGAGTATTTGTCAAGGTCCGTAAGTCCAAGGACGCGGTCAACTACCAGGGCGGCAAGACGATGATCATGTACAACTGCCCCGGGTGCTCGGCTTGGGAGACGCAGCCCATGGTCCGGACTCGCGCCGCGCCCAAGAAGAAGGAAGGATACTTTTACAAGCACGGGCTGTCTCAGGGACCTCCCACCGACTCACACTGCAGACACTGCGGTTCAAAGATGCACGTCGCGGGACCCATGTACAGTGGCCCCTTGCACAATGCCGAGTTTATCCAGCGTATTCTCGACGTCTTGCCGACGGTCGACAAGAACGTGTACCAGACGACGTCCAGAATCGAGGGCATGCTCCAGACAGCTCTGGAAGAGTATCTCCCGGGCCCGGAACCGGCAGAAGACCTCGATCCCAAGGATAAGGAGCTCGCGAGGGTGGACCACTACCCCTTCTTCGTCATGCCTTCGAGGTTGGCTGGCACGTTGAGCACGCAGCAGCCGCCGGACGACATGTTTAGGGGTGCTCTCAAGCACCTCGGCTACCGCGTCACTCGCAGCCATTGCCGTCCCGGAAGTGTCAAGACGGATGCGCCGTGGGACACGATTTGGTTCGTCATGCAGGAATGGGTTCGCCAAAAGGCGCCGGTGCGCACGGAAAAGATCAACTCGCAGATGCCGGCGTATAAGTTGCTGGGCCTGGACAAGACGGACAAGGCGGACACCAACGGAAACGCCACGGAGGCCAAGGATGCCGGTGCCACGGTGGAGGTTGTCAAGGTGGAGGAGAAGGATAAGGAGGAGGCTATCAACAAGGAGGAGGAAAAGACGGCGGATGTCGAGATGAAGGACGGATCGGAAGACAAGGCCGAAGAACAGCTGTCCGAGGAGGCGCTGCGTAAGACGCTTGTGTTCGACGAGAACCTCGCCAAGCTCGGCAAGCGCAGGGAGCAGAGAAAATTGGTCAGATACCAGATGAACCCGCGGGAGAACTGGGGCCCCATGACGAGGGCGAAGGGCGCGTGATCGGACGGGATACCAGGAAGAAGAAAAGCAAAGTCGACTCTAGCCGAGATGAAGCATTACCAGATATTTACCAACACTTGAGGCCGTGCAATGCGAGGTAAACAGTCACTGTCCATTCGCCAGTTCGAGAAGTATAAGTCGCAGACTGACGCGAAATCGTCTTAGATATCTGTGTGTGATCAATCCGACTCAACCTCCTTTACCTTTGGCACGTAGATACCTCCCATTTGCACCTACCTGGACGATCAAAGTATCGATATTATCTCACAGCCATGTTTCCCTGCTCGCTCGTCCCTTCCCGAACGGGCTTTTTCGCATCATGGTGGGCGGTCACGCGAAGCCCCAACTGCGCAACCAAGGATAGGTGCCAATCCGAGCCTCTCAAACCTCAAGTTGCAAACTTCGCGGTGGGATGGCCGAGTGGTCTAAGGCGACAGATTTAAGCTTAGTCAGCAACTCTGTTACTCGTGAGAGTGCGCGGGTTCGAACCCCGCTCCCATCATTTTAGCTTTTTGTGGTAGGTGTTTGAATCTGCAGGGTGTCGGCAATCGATTTTGTGCATGAATTAAGTGCGCGATTGGGTGACCGGGCTGGAATCGCTGTGTTATCAGCAAGTTAAGGTCAGGAAAGGTAATAAAAACAAGCCGGCCTGTGCAACATGGTGCGGGCGGCGTTTCGGGGGTCGATTGGTCGGTCTTCCGGGTGGTGGCAGCGCGTACGGGCGACCACCCGGCCCTGGCTGGCTTGGCTGCTCGACTTGAGGTGCTATTCCAGGCGCTGTTTCTGGGGGCTCTTGGTGCCCCGCCGCCCTCCCTTTTGCCGGGATGACTCCGATTTCGTTACTTACCTTACCAGACCAGTTAGGGGCGTCTGGTGTCACTTGCAGAAATAACGCAATCGCTGGGTCCATGGCATATTTCCCACTAACTCATCCACAGCACCAGCCACAGTTCTTCAAAAGGCGATTTGTAAGTGAGGTGCGTGTGTGTCTCAACGCCAGGTAGGAGGGCAATACGCACGCTTACTATCCATCGCTACCCGGATTGTGGGATAGGATTGCTAACGCCTGCTGTCCCAGTGCATCCGGGCTTACTCCCAAGGCACTAAATAATCCACGCATCTCACTGCGTTGTAGAGGAGGAGGTGCTTGTACGGCCACCTGCCCGAAGAGGCTTCGTCTCGTTTTTGGTCCATCGGTGCTTTCCTTACTCCCTGGTGGCCAGCTGCCTGCCTGGTTACACCTGAGTGTTGATAAACCTCGCATTAACGTCACCCGTATATCGCCATATTGAACCAACTGGCAAAGGGGTTTCAAGGTGACAGATTTGCACAACCTTATTCAAGTCTGAGAATTTCAGATCAACTCTTTTCTTTCGAGATCAAGGACCCAACATGAGCAACGTGGGCGGCGTCGAGCCTTTGGGCGGGCCCCGCGCCTACGGCTTCGTACCCCGCCACGCCCGCGATGCCGCCTTCACCGACGGCAAACTCACCTTCACCACGCAAAGCGGCAGTGAGTCCGCTGGCCCGGAGGAGATAATTTTCATTCTTCCCGCGAGCAGCAATCCGGTCTCGGGTCCCATTTTCTGCGTCCTCAAAGAAGACCCCGAGGCTAAGGAATCCCCTTATCAGCTCGACATCATACTGCTCGTCGAGGGCGAGCTGCCTGCCGAGCTCACGAGCCACAACCTCCTGCTCCCGCAATTTCCGGATCATCTCACTCCCAGGCCGGAAAGTCACGACGTACACTTTGTCGTTTCTACCAAGTCTGGCTTGGGTCACGCGCCAAAGTTCTGGGACGGCGTCGTTCAGCCTCTGGTCCTGCTCGCCGGCCAAAAGACGACGTCTGGAGAATTGGCGTCCACTTTCTCTCCAGAAGGTCTATCAGCTCATGGCCTGCCTTCCAGCTTCAATATCCTAATAACGGAAGAAGCCGACAGCGTTCGAAAGTTCGCAAAGGAGAGGTGGGCCGCCAGACAAGCCGCCTCGAGCTCCGCCTCCTCGCCCCGGACAGAGACCATCGTCCTCCTCAGCGGTGACGGCGGCGTCGTCGATCTCTTGAACGGGTGCGAGGAGGAGGAGAAGAAGAAGAAGGAGAAGGAAACAGGATCATCCACCGCCACCACAACCCTGCCCACCCTCGCCCTCTTACCCCTCGGCACGGGCAACGCCTGCTTCCACTCCCTCCACAAACCCCTCTACGCCGAAAAGGGGCCCTCACACATGGTCCTCGGCCTCCGCACCCTCTTCTTCGGCACCTCGCGCCCGCTCCCCAGTTTCCGCGCCTCCTTCTCCCCCGGTGCCCGGCTCATCTCTTACACGGCCGATCCGGGCCCCCATGCGCCACCTCTAGGCGAGAGGGACGGCGACGGCCAAGGTGACGACGAGACGGCGCTCTCCCGCCACGACACGAGCGTCGACCACCTCTTCGGCGCCATCGTCGCCAGCTACGGATTCCACGCCCAGCTGGTCTGGGAGAGCGACACGCCCGAGTACCGCAAGCACGGCGACAAGAGATTCGGCATGGTGGCGCAGGAGCTGCTCAAGGAAAGTCACGCGTACGTCGCCACAGTCGAGGTGCGGTCTCCGGGGGCAACGGGCAAGCAGAGGAGGCGCGTGGAGCGCGAGAGATTCGGGTACGCCCTCGCGGCCATGGTTTCGAATCTGGAAAAGACGTTCACGATCGCACCGGACAGCGGACCGTTGCAGGGGGGGTTGAAACTGGTGCACTTCGGGGCCGTGGGCGGGGAGAAGACGATGGAGATCATGATGGCTGCGTACAAGGAGGGAGCGCATGTGGGTATGAAGTGGACGGACGCGGAGGGGAGGGAGGACTATCTCGGGTACGAGGACGCGGAGGAGGTTCGGGTGACGATTGGGGAGTCGGATCCCCGATGGCGGAAGGTGTGTGTTGACGGGACGATTGTTGAGATTCCCGAGGGCGGATGGATGGCTGTTGAGACGCTGGAGAGGCCGCTTTTTGGGATTCTTGCTGATCGCTCGGTAGTGTAGGCTGGTGGATGTGATTGATGGTCACCGTGACGGGCAAGAGATTTTTGGTAGCAATGACTCAACGTTTCCTTACGGATTATACACGACGATAGATTGGCTTCCGGTAGTCTTCAAGCTATGGAGACTTTTTGTCGATGACAGAAATATTTATGATCTGAAGCGGCCTCACAGGCATGAAGGCCAACAACAGTGTTTCGTCTGGTTCCAAGAAGCAGCATGCCGTTCATTCTCTGCGGCAAAAGCTACTGCTGTTTAAGCCTCTCCATAGCTAGTGACTTTGACATGCTGTCAATGCCTGCATTTGAATGCCCCGGCTACTGTTACCCACACCCCGGGTGCAAGCAAGCTTTAGAGCTGATGTTCTAAAACCCGAACACGAGTTCAACACAGAGAGAGAGAGAGAGAGAGAGTACGTAGCTGGGGCTTGACTCTCTTCATGGTAAGCAACTTCCCCTCGCGCCATCAGGCTCATGCTTTGAGGAATAGGGGGTTGTTCACCACGTAGGCTGCAATGACTTGCCTACACGGCTACAGAGCAGGAAACTTGAATTATCACAGCCATATATACCCGAAATCCAAAGCCAGCTTCTATTCTTTAGAAAAAAAAAAACCCGGCTTTAAGATAAACATAGTGTGTAAGACTGGTATCCTCGGAGAACTGAAGGACCATACCGTTGCCGAAAGAAACGTCATGGTCGCCCGCGGGGCTACTGAAGCGAGTTTTGCGGATGTCTCGACACAAAGGGGCGGAAAGGGAACGAGGATCGGTCCTTCAAAAGTAAAACGAATGACCTCTTGAATGGGATATCACAGATGACACAAAACGCATTCATGCTCGAGCGTTGAGTACACACAACATGTCAACACTGTTTCACTATCTAGGACTGAACCACGTTCAAAAAAAAAAATTACTTCAGAGAAGTAGTGGTGGACCGTAAAAGATTCGAGGCTACCATGGTTTCTCAGTCATGGCAAAATTCCGACAAGCCGGGACTCAATGACATGGGTCAATGAGTAAAAACGCAAGCATGATGTATGTAAACGCGGCCAAATTGTCTCTCAAAGGTATCTAGCAAGTAAAGATCACCAAATACGGCATCACACAACTTTTTAAGATCGTTATACGTATGGGATAATATTGAGGCTTTGAGTAGACAAGCTACAGGTGAACCGGCGCCAGCTCCCATGATGGTAAGTATCGATTCGCGGTAAACGAACATGATGAGCAAACTACAAGCGTCGGTGTCTCAACAAACACACAGGATATTTCACTCCATCTCCAAAGCCCTCGGTATTCATTATGGGGGAGTATATCGAGGACAACCTCTAGCTTCTTCTCCAGAATACAGTCATAGAGAGCGGTTGTAGAAAGCAGGTCGCTATCTCCTCATACTCGCTCATAGGAAAGACCAGGAATATACGAACCACGATGGAATGAACATTCTCAATCCACATTTCTCATACCACGAAAGAAGTACCGGTATGTATAGTAGTCACATTGAAGCGATGGAGATGAAGGCTTCAGAGCTCGTAGTGTCTCTTTGGGCAAACATCAACACCCATGGCTCCTTATCACAGGCAATAGTCCGGACGTCAATTAATGAATTGTCCCTCTCTACCTTGCCCATAGGATTATTGGTTCATGTGGTCAACAATACTGAACTTGAGGCATTCTCAGATATTCAGTCAGAGGGGATTGAGAACCGTAGGATAGAGGGGGTTGCTGGTCTAACAAGACCCGTGAATGTGCAGATGTAGTCATATTCACAGCTCTCCGAGACTTGGGTGGTCTTATCAACCCACCCTGGTGCCAGAGAGGCTTATAGACCGTCGTCTAGCATGCTCTGGAGAGAGCCCATATAGCCGGGGTATCGCGTAAAATTGTTTCGAAGAGTTTGACAGTCATACATCAGGCATCCTGAAACTTCCCCCTAAGGTTCCTGATAATTACGAACAAGTTCTTTATAACTTGTCAAGATCCTGGTTTAGGCTCTGATCTCTCGGCTTCCCCGGATTGATGCTCTGCTTGTCAATGTAGCAGCAGCAAGAAATCAAATTCCGAGTCAAGTTGTTCCCAATACCTATATATTGACTACTATCGTGGACGATCTCGGCATATCGTGTCTGCCAATATTTACCTTTTCGAATGTCGTCTAGCCTCTCGACAAGATGAATGGAGTGATTCGACTGAAACTTTTGCTGAGTTGAGACAAAAGACTTGAGAACATCACGTGGTTTGTTGGTACTGGCCCCCCTCCACCCCCCCCCCCTCTTTGACAGTATCATGAACGTATGAGTCTCTCAGTTCTCATATATGTTTTCGAAGCCTCTTGAAGACGAATTTACTAAAATCTAGCTAGAGACGCAACGACGGAGAGTCCAGGGAGGACTGTCATAAGCTCTCGATCACATTAGCAATGGTGAGACGTCTTGCTAGAAGCAAACTTGACGTGGCCCGGCTTTCCACCCTATAAACCAACATCGAGGACCCAAGTAGGTAATGATATCAAATGGTAGACAGGCCTCTTGTCAAGGTCAGACGAGTCCATATTACCGCGATATCTAATTCGATGGTGTGAAGGGGAATGCAATCCATACATGGCAGTCAAGATACCTATCTATCTACAGGTTCACCTTTGGAAACCTTGGGAATACTACGTGGCTACATCATGACTACCTGTCCTCGTTCAGCTCTTGATGTATCTACGACTTGACTTGCGTATATTGAGTGTGTGTTTTTATTTGATCTTCAATAGGCATTGTTTTCAAGAACTCTGCCAATCTGTGTATGGATTATTCTATGTCAATAAAAAGAAGGTGCAAAGAGATAATCCTGGAGGTTGACTGAGCCGACGCTTTTTCTTTTTTTAGCCAGACACCTCTAACTTTCCAGGCTCAACTGCTACATCGTAACGATCTCTAGCCCATGTAATTGGGACCATGCACATTTCGGCTGCCTCCAGATTTACTCGGTCCTCGCATATCTTCTCAAGGCTTTTCTCAAGAAACCCACTCCGAATTCCATAGTAACAATGGACGCAGTTCCTTGCAAATAATTTGATCAAAGTATTTATCCATGTGAAGCTCAACCTCATACAAGTAAGCGTGTCATTTACAACAGACAAGCTTGAAAGAAGCTTCCGCCATCTCCAAAGATCCATAAAAAGCCTCGACAAAGCCTCGGCAACACATCAATACCGATCCGATACCCTCGGAGCCGAGATAGCCCACTATAACAAGAGTAGAATATAACGAGGCTGGAAGCTCCCCAAGAAGCATGACGTCTCCCCATAGGCTCTCGAGCGGCGATGATAAAGTGATAGTATCACCCGTTCAGCCTTGACTCTTGACACCATAGCTGCTCATCAACTAGTAGCCCCCTCTCGCGGAAACACAACAGCCGATGTTTAGGTATTCCGAGGCATCTGACCACATTCCCGTGATGAACTGAAAGGACAGGTGATGAACTACCCCCTTTTGGGTCCCCTGATTTCCCCTGAGACACTAGAGCAAAGAGTGAGTCTTGTCCTCCTTCCCATTGCCAGGGACAAGGGATGAGGGACTGAGACACCGCGGTTGGAGACCCACATTCGCGCAGATGACAGTGAGACTCTCATGCCGTCACGAAATCTCATGATGGGGACCCGAAGCCCCTCAAAACAGGAAGCCGGCAACCCGCAAGCCACATGGCGTTGTTTTTCCTTGGTCACCACCCACCTCACTCCCAGCTGTGAACCAGCCACAGAGACGTTGCATTCTTCGGCAAAAGGGATACCTAGGAACGGGAACGAGAAACGAGTGGGAAGACGTTTTCCATCCTCGGCCCTAGGTAAGCCCGTAGGAGGGCATGGAAAAAGAAAAGAGGAACGGGGCTATTGCCAGTAGGGCATCAAATCCGAGTGAGCAATTCATGACGCAGGCCGTAAATGCCCGCTGTTGTGCACCCCTCGGCCCGACGAGATCGTAATCAGCCACCATCCCTGCCGCCCCATTTGAACATGCCTAGACCGTAAGAGTGGCTGTCCCCTTGAATGTTCGTATTTTACGCGTAAAGCCACTCGGCTTCAACGATGCGCAGCGACACTCGACTGAGAAAAATTGTCACGAGGGGCCTCGTATCGTTGGTGGCTCCTGGGGAAAACGGCATATCATGCGGTGATGGAATAGATCAGACAGATCACCGGAAGAGGCACCCAGTAGGAAGGTCCTGTATACTCTGATGATCAGAAAGCAGCATCATTCGCAGATTCGGTGCAATTGTGCGATGCAGGGATCTGGCTCTGAGATTCTCAGGGATTATGCGGCAAATCCCTGAAGCTGAAGCTTTAATTCTTGCCAAGAATGATGGTGACATTCGAGGAACGACAGGCGCCTGAAAAGCGCCGGAACTCGAATGAACACCACAAGCTAACGACGCTCAAGGAACGGAACGGGAGGTAGCTTGGCAAGGGAAATCGCTCTAGGCACAGTGTGGCGGCAGTTCAGGTCTGCCCAGCTCGTTTGCGGAAGCGTTTACCGCTGGCTGCAAGACGCGTGGCCGGACTTTGTGGGTTTCGTGAAAGGTTAGGGCCAGAGGGTGGCACTGTGGGCAATGCCAGCTGAGAAGAAGGAATGGTGACCATCCTGCCGTCGGTACCATGTCACCATGTCAGCGGATGACGGCGTGGTGAAGGAATCCAGAAGTTGTGATCTGCATGTAGTAAGACGTAGGGGGGGATAGTGTCCCATTCTTTCCAGGAGCCGTGAAGCGCGAACGTGCCGGCTTTAGAGGGGTTAGATGGGAGGATCTCTAAGAATATCCGTAAGGCTGAGGAAGATTGAAAGTTTGTACAACGCCAGCCCTGGCTTCAGTAACATGTAGATGGGGGCGAGTTGAGTTGCTTACTACTGAGAAAGTAGACGCTGACGAGAGGCGGGCTGTGGGAGTGTTGTTGCCAGCTGGAGCTGGAATGCCCTGCTCAATTGGGGAATTTTGGCGATGTATTCAGCGGTGAGATCAC